GGTAATAAAGAACAAATTTCACACACAAAACACTCAAATCACTCAAAGACGTACGCACGTAAGGATGGACTTTTTTTTTTTTTTACACATTCTTGTTTTTCCTCAAGCGTTCTTGTTTTGCCAAGGCTTGAGAACACCAACAACGATTACGGCAACAACTATGAGGAGGATGATGATTGCGATACACATCCATTTTCTTGAGTTTTTCTGTAAGCTCTTTGCTCTTTGAAGAGCCGTGTTTCCCGATTGCACATGGTCTACTGCACTTGACACCTACAAGTGCCACAAATTCCTCATTATTTACTATTATAATGCTTTGGATGTTAAGAGTGTATAAACGCAAGGTTCATGTATAGTTTTGAGAGGTTATGACTCTCTTTATTTTACATCAACAGCTTCATATTAACTTTTAGTTTACACTTTTATCCATTTTGATCCAAAGCAAAGTATAATACCAAATTACCTGAGATTCTATGTTGTCAAGCATTTCTCCTTGCGCATCAACCAAAACTGCCATATCCAAGAAAATCTGCAAAAAACGGAAAACCTGATAAATCTGCCTCTACGCGAATGACTCCATACAATTGAGTTATCAAACAAACAAAAAAGAGTTTGATTTATGGATTGCATCAAACTCGGTTCTAAGATATTTTAATAGTGTGAGAGAATATGAAATCAAGCATACTTGTTGCAAGTCGAGAAGCTTCTTTTCCAACTCTCTGACCGCATCATGACGTTCTTGGATTTCCGCCAAGGTGTCCATCACCTGGGAGAGAAACAGTTATAGATCTTTGCAAGTTGAAATCTTGGACTATTGTCCATTTAATACGTAACATAATGTCGAAATGTTCAAAGCAGGCGTTTCTCAATCAAATAAGCAGAAAAAGCTCAAACCTGTCCTCTTCCTTGCTCCTGAATCGCTTTCTGGAATATCTGTTCGCTGTCTCCAGTTTCAATCAATTCGTCAATCGTCTGAAAATCAAGATACGGTAACGGCATGAGTTTAATTCAAACTTCTGAGACTACAATAATACTCAGAGTCTATGTTACTTACATCTTCATCCGCTCGCTGCCCAGTTACTAATTCAAGAAAAACACACAAAAATCAGAAGAGGGAAGAACGAGTAGAAGGGAACAACTAAAACAGTGCATAACATCAACATACATACCTGTAAAAACACGCCTTTCAACAACCTCGCGATACTCTTGTTGGATGTTCTCTCGTAGAATCTATAACAGGTCACACTCTTAGTTTAAGAAAATACCAGTTTCCATAGAGTTTTGAAAAGTTATATTTTTCTTCCTAACCAACCTGAAACTCGGCCATCTTGTCTTTCAATTTCTTCTTCAAGGAACTGTTGCACAGAATAAAGGTCGTACCAAAAAAAAATACATTAAAAACTGAGAAAATTACACCACAATAAATTGAATGAATAAGAGCTGACTCCTCCCATTAAAACATAGGTGTCAGAATAAATTATCTTCTTAAAAAATAAGAATACTCACAGTGTCGTTGCTGTTCTTGATCGATCCACACCAGATCCTTTCGCACACCCAGGTTTTTGTCTATTTGCCAAGTTCTACAAACATTTTAATGAATATATTAATAAAAAAGAAACAAAGAAAATCAACAACCGTAGAATTAGAAGATAAAGAGCCAGTGAGCCTACCTCTCTGTCCAACTCCTCGAGTTTCCCCTTTATGAAACGGGCAATACTTCCAACTTCGTCAACGTCCTTTTCCATTTTCTTCTTTATTGCTGTCCATTACACAGGGAGCAAGACACAAAACACCAAACTATATGTAAGGTTATGGCAAACCACTAACACTAATCCTACCGCTAAAATTTTAAGCCCATGAGCTGCTTGATGTTCAACTAAGTTAGGATCTATCCTTTGTCATCTAAGAATTTTTCGAGTTTTCTAAATTTTTCTAACTCAAATTCTCAGACATGTATGGTTATTTTATTCAATGCTTGGTTCTTAGTTCCAGCGGAACGCATGCTTCAGCTAAAGTTCATTCTATACAGTGCAAGCAACCCCTAATAATCATCGAAACTTAGTGCGTTTATAAATAAATCCTAAACATAACCATGATTATTTTCACTAGATCTAAGGAATATGCATGACCCAAATAATGAACGAAATAAACAATTTTACCCTTCATGGCAGGAGCTTTGGTCACAGCCTTCGACTCCTCATGGGCAGCCTATAGGGTTTACAAATGTAAGTGAGAAGCCACAGATTCATAAATCTTTAAAAGGAAAGCGAACAAACATCGTAACCAAACTACAGTGGCAGTTCTTGCTCTTATTTTCGATGCAATGTAGACATTCATACTAATTATAGTACCACACTTCATGAAGATAATAGCATACATCTAATAGCGTAATGTAGGAAATAAGTCACTGGTTTATACGTACCTGAAGTTTCTTTAGAAGCTTATCTAGCTTTTCATATTGTTTCTCAATCACTTGAACCTAAGAAGACAAGAGAGGAAACACTTAGGTAAGGTAAATATATAGCACTCGTATTTTTGAGTTTAGTGTTATTGAATTGAAGCTTACCTTTTTGAAGAAATCTTCTAATCCTTGATCTCCTCCTTGTTCCCCTAGTTCGACATCTCCTTCTCTCGAAGACTGGCCTCGGGGAAGCTCAAACGAACCACCCTAACAAAAGCCATTAAAATTAAACACAAGAATCGATTATCATAAACCTTCACAAGCATAATCTTCGAATTTCACATGAGAAAGAGCAGAAAAAAGGCTAAGTTAAGATCCAATTATCAGATAGAATCATTACAAGGCAGTTCCTTCCAAAATTGAATTCAGATATTCACATAAAAGAGTTTCACATACAGCATTCAGATTCTGCTCAAAAGTGAAATTATTGGATGGTCAAACCATACGAATTTTGATAACGATTCTCGAAATTACATCAGAAAATTAGATTGAGAAGCTCAAGAGCAAAACAAAAAATCCCAATTTTTTAAAAAATCAGCATCCACATTTAGATGATCAAACCCAATTCAAACTCAACAAAACCCTAAATGTCTAGATGGATAAAAGGAAGAAACAGTACCAAGAAAACAACAAAAAATCTCACCTTAAGAAGATCATTCATCGTGTGGTGCGAACGAGACTAAGTTTGGTTTTTCCGGTTAAACAAAGAACACACAACTTTACTTGTGCGAAGGCGACAAATAAGACGTGAGTCCACGACGAAGATGTTGAACCGAAAACGCCGGAAAAGTGTCGATCTTTGAGGGACAAAGCGCGAGAAACTGAGTGAGACAAAAATCGAGAGCAAGTGGAGGAGAAACGGATCTGGCTCAGACTCGAAGATGATGTGAAGGATGTGTCTAGGGATTTTAATTTTTTTCAAAACTGATCGGTTTACTATTCATAACCGAAATTAAACCGAGAATCGAATACATTTTTTACAAACAAGTTATAGTATATCAGTAAACCGAAACCAAACATTGGTCGGTCGGTTCGGTTTGGTGATGTGGACGATGATTTTTCCGACAAGCCGTCCTTGTCCAGCTAAAAGACAACTCCATTTCGGTGCCTGACCAATATTGTAGTAAAAGAAAATATAAGGGTAATTACGTCATTCGGGCAAAAGTTATCTTGTGCGACGCATGTGCACTGATGCCCGATACACCTAAGGAATCTGAACAGTCGATTGAAGTGTATCAGACATTTTGTGTGTGTGGACCCCATGTGAACGAACGGCGGATATTCTCGAATTAGTTTATAATGAAATAATGTTTAAGCGAGGAGAACTATCAAAACGGGGGTGTAGCTCATATGGTAGAGCGCTCGCTTCGCATGCGAGAGGCACGGGGTTCGATTCCCCGCTCCTCCATTTAGTACTTAAGATCTAATTTGATTATATGCTATCTTTTGCTAACTAACTATCGTTGGCCAATCATGTGTAAAATTAAACACTTGTTGGACTTCCTGTTATGTCATGAAACATCTCAGCCCATATGTTTTTTATTTATTTTTGGGGTCAACAATATATATATGATATGTTTTTATCATCTGATATCTTACCAAAAAACACTAAAATATGTTAGGATGAAAAACTAATGACAAGATTTCTATTTATTTTTATCATTTAATCACTATAATTAGAAAATTTACAATCTATCATTTTTATCAGTATTATAAAAAAAATCAAGTAATAAGATAGAGTTGACATAATTTCTATCAATCAATTAAATTTTGGGTGATCTGCATAAGAAAACATTTTATTTACTTCATTTCCTATTTTTGGTATGTTCAAAGAATTCATATTCCTATAGATCATGAGCTTTTCTGAAATGAATATGAAACATATCTAAGACTATCACCATCTGTGATACGTGCACCGGTTCTTGGACTAAAAAGCTC